AAATGAATTCAAATAACTCCAAGTTTGATTGTACATTTAGAAAAACATACGACCTTCCATGTGTTTCTGTAATGGCCAAGAAGATGAAGCTCGATAAACTTATACATATGGACGAACTAAACATGCACTAGAAAAGGATTCAATTTGATGATGATGGTATGATCAAGGTTGTAAATACGATATTTCTATTATGACAAAATGAGAGGTGATTGAAGAAATATTTATGAAAGTTGATTACAACATGGAGTTTCACATCAAAGAGCATATGTGCAAGATAACCTATCTAGAAAAATTTGATATGAGACCAGTCGCAGAATCAATAAAAATTAATGATGCTCTTAAAAAGGTTAAACCAAATCTTAGTGATAATTATACCAAGTGGTCATCATCATTCTTTTAGCAAGTCGACTCACTTTATCCAAATTATCCTCTTTCACAATCCAAAAAGTTCCAGTAAGGGTGCTCGTATCAGAAAATTTTCGTCCTCTCCACCTTTACCAGATATAAAGTACATTGAGGATATGCTTATTTTTATGCATAAATTCATTGACAAGATTATAGAGGTTTCATGTGATGGTAGCTACATATTTCACGTTGTTTTAGCCTTAATATGTAACAGAAAGAATCATACACTTATTCTTCATGATTTTATCAAAGAGTTAGGTTCTCATAAGGAATACTACATGAGGTTATACGAGAATAAAAAATGATCTGAAGATACTCTATAAGCTTTAATTCTTGGTAAAATTGGATTTTCAGTACCGAATGGAAAATGGATGTGTACTTGTAGCGAGTACAAAAAGGGTTACCCTGCCTATAATGAGATACACAAGAGGGCTTTTGTGTTCTTATAATTAATCGATTATCCAACTCTCTAGCGAGGATATTTATATCTTCGGTTACTTGAACTAGGAGTTGTTGCAAAGACTGACTCTGGTGTTTATCAATCCGACCACACTTCCTGTAACTTTAACCTAATTTTGGAGTGAATAGAGTCAGTCATCTCTCATAATAAGGAGTGAAATTAATCTATGAGACTTGGGATTACTTATGCTACTCTCCTAATATGGGGTTGGATACATTCTTCTATGATCCATGGTAGAAGAGAATTGAGTTTGGTGATATCATGTGCTCGCCACCTAACCCCTTCCTTTCATACCTCGTACCTTTCCCCATTACTTATGAGTTACACAACTGGTGGGTCGAGCTCTTTAAGGCCTAATCTAAGTTATTCTAGTTCACAATACCTTAAGCACATGGCATGAAAAGCAATGTGATTAAGGAAAGACCTCTCCATTCATAGTCACTATAGTACAAGGCTTAGAAGGTGGTGTGATTAAGGTAAACCTCCCATTCCACAGTCACTCCAACATGAGGCCTGGAAGGGTGTGATGTTCCACAATATTGAGGTAGCGACTCGATAAGATGAAGGTTGGTTTCAAGATAAGTGACACATTTAATGATAATAATGATGAAAATATCCTGGGAAGGACCAAGTGATTTGTGCTAGTAATCTTTTTATATACGTAGAATAAGTATCACTGATATATTGTCCCTATAGTAGTGTCTATGACCCTACTAGTCGTGTGATGATGACTCTACTTGCCATATGGGGAAACAAACCCTTTAAATACATGAGTAACGATTTTTCCTCCTCATTGTTTACTTCTAAAGTTTGTGTCTTCTTTTGTTTGAGGTTTCATGTATTCCTTCAAGTTCATCCAGAAAGTTACATGTATTGAGTTATATTCTTCTTGCCATTATTTCTTTTTAGCGACCGGTGATAGTGGTTATTAGAGAGATTGATGAAAATGACGATTTGGTAGAACCTAAGATGCATGAGGCAATATGTGAGATGTGGAAACACTACATAGAAAATTTAGAGCGACTTTATGGGAGGGTTGTTTAGAACCTTGTAGAATTATGGATGTTTTGGAGCTATAAATTTCTTTCTAGTAGCTTCGATTTCAGCGAGTGTAGTGATGATAACCATATTTTGCCCTATTATTTCTTAGAACATGCAAGATCACTAATGATAACCTCAATTACCAACCATTTTAGTGGCATGATTGACATCATTCCATCCATCTACACTAGAAAGGACAATGTGGCCTTGTTTCGTAAGAACCTTTATATATCCACCACCCACGGTGAATGTGGTGTCTTACAAGAGTTGTAACATGAGAGCGATTGCGTCAATTTGGCGATGCTTCGAGGACTAGTGGAAAGTTCTTCTACATGTACATACATATCGTTTAGGACTTAATAATGAGAATTTGGTTCATTGTATTTGAGTCTAAGATGCTCAAAACCATCAATTTTACCAGTTCCCAACTATACCCAAATAGTTAGGCTTTCATTACGAGGTTCAAAATTATATATATATATATATATATATATATATATATATATATATATATATATATATATATATATATATATATATATATATATATATATATATATATATATATATATATATATATATATATATATATATATATATATATATATATATATATATATATATATATATATATATATATATATATATATATATATTGCTTGCATGGACATTTTTTTTAGATTTTTGGAATTGTAAAGACACTACGAATGAGCCCATTTTTCAAGAGATATATGACAGCCTCCTAAGGCATATTTCTTCTCGGTTGGATATACCAACTGAGGGAATATATACCTTTAAAAAAAGAAAGGAACCAATTTTTAAAAAATATATAAATTTAAAATAAAGTAATAGAAAAGAGTTTTGTGAATGTGAAATAGATACATTATAAAAATAAATAAAAAAGTAAAAACTGCAAGAGTTAGGATTCGAAGCGTGATTCCTATCCATATTTTCTCTCGGGTTGGATGTCAAAACACAGAGAATAGTTGATATATTTTTTGATTAAAAATTTAAATTTAAATTGAGATGCGTAGTATAAGTGAGACGTGTTGAGTGTGTGGAGAACTAGTTTATCCTCCTTTCCCCTTCCAACTTTTATCCTTCTTAGGCCAGAGGCTTATGGATTGGTCTCGTTCTAAAGGGTGAGACCTACCTCGTAAGAGGTTCGTTGGTCATGTTTTCTTAGATGCCCTACTTGGATAAAGGATTATATTTCTTTTTTAGTTGATGACATTCACCCGTATCATGGCCTTTCACTAAGTGGTATTCACTCCATTTGTTTGGCTGACTCCTCATGACTTTCCACTTTGGAGTTGAAAGACGATGAATGTCATATGTATGGAGTACTCTGCGTAAAATTTTCTCCCGCTTGGTGTTCAGTGGCGTGTAGGTCTCTGTAGGCTTCCTACTGTTGAAAGGAGTCGGATCCCCCGACACCACAGTTTGTTGAGTCTATAGCCTTATTCTCCTCGTTGCTTTCTTCTCCCACAAACATTTCTTGGTTGGGGTGGACCATCTTGATAGTCGCCTTATTAAACCTAATTAGGTATTTTCTAAAATATTCAAAATGTCCATGATAAACTTTAAATAAATTGGTTGTTGAGACTCTTCGGTGTTCCTCGCTAAGAACTGATGAATTAGCTTCATCTAAAGATCTTGGTAGCCGATCACCGAGAACCTAGGTAAGTTCGTATATATCTTCAGCCTCACATTCTTTAATATACAAATCATAATCATACACTTTATAGAATCGATAACACTTATTACATATAACTTTTTTTAATTTGTAAATTTTATACAAAATATTATTTAAAATAATTTACACAATTTCACTTCTAATATTTTCTATCAATGATTTTTTTTTGTTAAAAATTTCAATTAAATAAAGGAATACAACTATAACAATTAAATAATTTGAGACTAACATTACATAAAATTAAGAAAAATTGTGATTATATTTTAAATCCTTAAAAGAAAGCCCAAGAGTGTAGTTTAAAATTATACACCCTATCCAATAATATTTTCCACATTTGACAATTTAAATAGATTAAAAAATAGTAAAAAATTATGATTACATCCAATTATCATATTAACTATTAATGCATTTATATTATCAAAAATGAAAAATAGAAAAATAATAATTTATAAGTGATGTAAATATATTTAACTAGATGATATAGTTAAAAAACAAAATTGAAGTTATATTGAAAAATAAAATAACAATTATTTAGAAATAATTATTTTTATACCTATAGCCAATATTCTAAAATAAAACAAAAGAGGGTAGATTAGATAGTTTAAATGATATATGTTAATTGGATTAAATAAGTACTTATAAGTTTTCGATCTAGAATTAAATCTCTTTTGATAATATTAATAAAAATGTGTTGTTTATATTTATAAATTATTATTTAAAAAAAGTAAGATAGAAAATGGAAAATAATAATATTGGAGGATTTTAAGTTGGCCGGCAGGTTATCCAATAAACACAATCATCTAACATCTATTAGGATATAGGTGTCTTCCATTATTTTTTAATTTCTTTTTCTTTTTCTTTTTTATATTCAAAAGTATTTTCTACATTAGACAAGAAGATAGTTATACTTTATATAAAAAAGAAGAAGATAATTAGACCATAAAAGAAGACTAATAACAACTTAACAAGACCCCACTAAAAATAATAATGAAATAAAAAATAGTGTTAAAAATGAAAAAAAAAAACAATTTGACATAAACAAACATTTTCAGTCAAATAATACTATATAACTTTAATTTAATACTAATTATTAAATTAAAGATAAAAGTCATAAAACATGATAGCATGGTTTGATTAGGAAAAAAGCTCATTTGGCCGGTGTATTAGGTAATTTAATTAAAAAATACTAATTCATAAATGCCACGTGTCATTTGACCCGATAATTGACCCGATCCCACAAACACCTAAATAGTTTCAGTTGCAGAGTAACATAATCTCTTCCAACAACATCATCAAACCCCTCGAAAGAGGAAACAAAAAAAACACTCACTCACTTTGTTTCTCTTCTTCTTCCTCTTCATTTCACTCAAAAAAATCGAGACTTTAACGCTATAAGCGATGATGGGTATTACCAGAGACAGAGACGAAACCCTCACATTCACAATCCCTTCATCTTCCTCTCATTCTTCTCCCATCACTGTTTCCGACACACTTGACAGTTACCTAGTCGACCCAAGAAGTGCTTCTGGAAGTTTCCAGAACGAGGGTCTTCTTTCCGGCGGAGATGTAGCCGATGCTGAGTTCGGTTTCTCGAGACCTGATTTCCGACAGAGTTCGCTTGTTGGTACTGTTGAGTTGTACGAACGACACGTGTTTCTTTGTTATAAGAATCCGAGGTTTTGGCCACCCAGGATTGAGGCTGCTGAGTTTGATCGGTTGCCTAGGTTGCTTTATGCTGCTGTTAAGGCGAGGAAGAATCATATGAAGAAGGAGGTAGTGGTTTAGTTTGATTTTTGAAACGTTTGTGTCTTTGTTTTGTTGTTGTTTGTGTTGATTTTTGATTTATTTTTGTGAGATTGTGGTGATTGATTGGTTTAGGTTGGAAAAATTTAAGCTTTTGGGTTGTTTTTTTTGTGGGGGTGATGAACTATGAATGAATGATATGCTTGAAGTTTGTGAGGTTTGAACTCTTTTAAGTTAACTGGATGATCTGTTTTGTGCTAATTGGATATGTTATGAAAATGTGCTAATTGATTTTGTGAGATGTTGTGAGTTTATGTTGATTGATTGGTCATAAACTTGTAAAATTAAGCTTTTTTTTTTTGTGTGAATTCAAGCTGGCTTGAAATGAGTTGAGAAGGGGGAGGGCTTCAGAGGTTTTATGTGACACAAAGGTACTGCTCAAGCTGAAGGGAAATTTTATCGGATTGCGGTAAGACCAGAGATGTTGTAGGGGACAAAATGTTGGTAACATTCTGTTAAGAATTAACACGAGAATAAAGTAAATGTAGCAGAATTGAGGATGTTGTGTTGGATGTGTGGCACGACTAGACAAAATAGGATTAGAATTGAAAATATTAGAGAGTGTCCGGGTAGCACTTATAGTAGAGAAGATGGTGGAAAATAGACTTAATTCGTTTGGACATGTATAGAGAGGACATTTGGATTTTGTGGTAAGGGGAGTATATCAGATGGAGAGAAGTCCAACAACTTAAGGAAGATGAAGACCTAGAAAAACTATAAGAGAAATTATCAAGAAAAATCTCGAGATTAACAATTTGGACAAAAGCATAGTCTTGGATAGAACATTTTGGCAAAAGTTGGTCCATGTAGCTGAGCCCACTTAGTGGAATAAGGCTTGGTTGTTGTTGTTGTCGTAGATGAATTATATATGAATGATTCACTTGAAATCGATTGATTGGTGTTAATTTTTTTTTTGATAGTGAGTTTTTAACTTTTACTTAAGTTAGCTGCATGATCTGTATTGTGCTAATTGAATGTGATAATTATTTTTGTTTTTGAATTTTGAATTTGTTTGTTTATTGGCTAGACCCGGTTGACGATATGCGAGGGTCACGATGGGACTGAAACATCTAATGGAGATGTGTTAATTTTTCCTGAGATGATCAGATACAGGTTAGTGTGAGTTTTTTGTACTGCGATTTTTTATTCTCTTGCAAAGGTTTTTATGATGTTTTCCTTAACCTAGATTGTTGTCGGCTACAAAACCTTGTGTTAATATTGCAGGAGATTGACACATTTTGATGTTGAAACTTTTGTTGAAGAAGTTCTAGTGAAGGATGGAGAGTGGCTACCAGGAACACCTGAAATGTTGAAAGGTTCGTATGTTTTTGTGTGTTCACATGGATCGCGTGATCGCAGATGTGGAGTTTGTGGACCGGTTTTGATAAGTCGATTTAGGGAAGAGATAGAGTTACATGGTCTACAAGGTAAAGTATTTGTTAGTCCGTGCTCCCACGTTGGAGGACATAAGTATGCAGGAAATGTCATTATATTTGGATCAAACGTTAATGGAGAAGTCACTGGTCACTGGTAAGGAGAAGACCTGCACGAATATCGAATTTCATTTTTGTCGTAGAACTTTATGTTTATTAATTTAAATATTGAAATATCATTGTTTTGCATATTGATTATTTAGCTGACATAAAATCTTCTCAACTAATATGACTAGGTATGGATATGTTGCCCCGGAGGATGTACCTTTATTGCTTCAACAACATATCATGAAAGGGGAGATTATAGACTCATTATGGAGGTGATTATTTTCTATAATTCCTTATTTTGTTACTGCTTTGGCTTAAAGTTTTTGTTTCTTTAAAAGTTTTATCCTCTAAATTACAATAGCTGGTTGCTCGCTCCTGCCGGATTTTTGCTTGTTTGTGGGCTTAGAAGTTAATTTTACACAAGTTTGTACAAGTAGGCCAAGAAAAAAAAAGAAATTTTAGCTATATTCATAAGGCTTATTGCCATTTTCAAGTAAAAAATCTAAAAGTTCTGAAAAAAATGAAAGATTAATACTTGAGATGAGTTAACTAGCAAGATTCAAAGTTTTCTTAGTAGGTAGTTTTATGTTTAACACATCAATATTCTTTCTATCCTCGAGTGTTCATTAGATAAGAAAGGGATTTTAATTTAAAAAAAGGTTTCTCAGCTTATTGACCTATATACCTTACCAGAATTTGGGTTGGGTCTAACTCAACCTTATAAAACCAGTTTGTAAAGTGAGGATTTTCAAGTTTTTATAACACTACGCAGACCAACACATTGAAGATGTTGGAGGCTGCAACGTAAGCAACCTAAATTCCATAATTAGGCGGCTAGGGGTGAACTGCAAGGAAGCCGAAATTTCCAACACCCCCATCACGCTTGGCTCCCAATGAACTTGAAGCGTGGATGATGCATAGAGTTCAACAACAGATCTAGGATATGCTCTAAGATGTCATCGACGTGAAGAGTGTGCATTAAGAGGTTCACGAGATGATTGGAACATATATTTGTAAGTGGAGACGATCTTCGCGTTAGCTTACATGCTCATTCATACACTTTAGCTTTAGCTGATGGTATGGTATAATTTTACAACTCTGCTACGGATGCATTTAAACTGATATGTTCATTCATCTCCCTATATCTTTAGCTGATGTTATGGTACGATATGACAGTTTTGCTCTATATGCAGTTAACCCTGGAGTATATTCTGACTTGTATTCAATGTTACTTCTTTGAATATTTCAATCAGGGGTCAGATGGGTTTATCAGAAGATGAGCAAATAACAAAGCAAGAACAAAGGCTTCTGCTGAATGGCATAGGAAAACTAGAAGAAACCTCTGCACAGAATGGATCTCGAGACGATTTTGCAAGCTGCTGCCAATCAAATGGTGTAAGTTGCTGCCAATCAAATAGTGTAAGCTGCTGCCAAGAAAACGGAGACTCTTCCTTTTGCCAGAGTCAGGTGTCAGTGGATAACAAAATGATCCCCGACATCATCGAGACTGAGGCAAATCTTTCAGCTGATAATAATAATAAGAGCAACGGGGCAGTGATTTCTCGGATCAACAGCGGGAAAGGATCTTCACGCAAGTTTCATACTATGACAGCTTGGCTCGACGGCTGGGAGCAAGAAGATACTTACGCTGCTCTCGCTGTTGTATGTGCCGCAGCATCGGTCGCCATTGCCTATAACTGCTACAAGCAGCTGACATAAGAGGAATCAGCAATCACATTGTTATTATTTAGTAAGTCAGTTTCATTTTACTTAAGCTTTAACGTATTTTTATATCAGCTTCGTGTTTTCTGATGCCTATGCTGTTATTCGACATGCAGGGAACGAGTGGGACCTCAATCATTGTTGTGAATGTGCGTGCTTTACCGATCGATCGTGGAATATTATTGGCTGTGGCATTTATTATTTGCCAGTTAGCTTAATCTGTACATATAAGAAACATTAGCCTCAGAAAATGAATCAGAATTTGATTTGTAACATTATGTAATGTAGTGTAAAGCTTTGCTGTTCCTCAAACTTGCTAGTTAATCCAAGATTTGAGGTGCACACAGAATATTCAGAGAGTCCCTTACTATGTTCCTAAAAGAATAGAAAGCAGTTTGTTATGTGAAGGGTAACATTTGTTAGAATCTTCTTCTCTACCATTGTCCAAGTATTTTATACTCCCTCCGTCCCGCAATGAATGATCCAACACACCATTTCACACATATTATTAAGAAAAATATAGAAAAGTAAGAGAAAGAATAATGAGTTTACTATAGTACCTCTAATTATGTATTAGAAATGATAAAAGTTTAATTAATTAAAAGGTAACCTCTAATTATGTATTAGAAATGATAAAAGTTTAATTAATTAAAAGGTAAAATTGGAAAAAATGCATTGAAAACTGAAATGGATCATTGCGAGATGGAGAGAGTAACATGTTGTTTAAACTAATTTATCTAGCATTTTCTTAAACGTTTTGGAAATGTTTTTAAATTTATATATCCAATAATATTTTCAGTCAGTCTAATATTTAGTAAATAATAGTCAATAAATTAGTTAGATGAAAATAGTGTGAGAGTTATGAAGCAAATAAATTCAGATTAAAATTCCTATATTTAAAATTAGAAAATACCAAAATTATATGAGAATTTCTTTTTATACTTAATAGTGTTGAGTTTAACTTTTGAAAAATCGAAAGTATCCTTCGAATGTGTACATTTGAATGCACATCTTAGCATATTTCGAATATACACATCTGAAGAGATAATTTTTTAACATGTTTTAATATTTAAATGTTGGATTTAAAACTTTAAAGATTGTTCCAGATATACATATCTGGAACTTCTTCTGTTTGTGTCATTTTTATTTAAAACATAATAATTACCTCTACCTAATAAACAAACAAACATAAACTTATACAATTTGGACGAAAAATGAAACAAACATAACAATACGAACATAACGATTAGATTAGATGTTCAGGCATAGGGAAATATAATTTAGTACATAAGTTGTTCAGAAAGCGCGTAATGGCAAAATATTACATCGGTAACAAAAAACAAAACATAGCATAAGCCACTGCTACTGTGTATGCATAATCCTAACCTTCCATGACCTCCTTTGTCTCCTATACTACGCCTCACTCGATGTTTCCGTAATCATCCTCCAAACGATGACAACCGTCTTAGGACCACCCCTCTCGATGATCCCAAAATCCAATGCCTCATGTCCAAGGAGGTGTATCCGCCGACAGATCAGCAAGAGATCAGTGGTATGATCATCCTCGACTTGATGGTTCTCCAAGAGCTCCTCATGAGTTGGTCTAGGTGGACATCCAAGACCATCTGGTGTAATGATAGAGTGTGACACATTAAAGAACTGTGTCATGTAACCCTCTACACAATGCCAACTCTGGGATGCCGGCATCATTTGATACTCCCGTGGCACCAAATGATTCTCCTAATCATGGAAGATGCCATCGAGTTTCTGCCAGACAATGGTGTTAGAAGCCTCCTGAAAAGAAGATCTCAATATCTTCTACACATAGCCAAACTGTCGGATACACCGCTCCGGAAGATACCTGACCATAAGATTCGACCCACATGCTAGCTACCCATAGTATAATGAGATGAGATCGAATGGAACAACATCCATGTAATTCTCAAATGGCGTCTATTTGATGTCATCATGATTAGTACGATCAAGATACATCCGGTAAGGCGACACTTTATGATTCCCTCTGTGGAGGACATACTTTGCAGCCCTCGGTATGTCGTTAGTATAAGCCGAATCACACTCGAAACCATGAATGCGATGGAAGTGAGAGATTATCCAACTTTGAAACAACAATCAGATAATATGTAAGTACAAATTATAAAAAATAAATTAAATGTAATAGTTAAAATGAAAGGTAATGTGAGGAGTGTGCAAGAGCCAGTGAGATGTCCCGTCCTCCAGTTTGAAACTTCATTCAGCTTCTGGTAGAGGTATACCAAAATGGCGGCCCCTCAGTTCCACTCACAAACTATAGTCAAATCCATAGAATACCGAAGATATATCACATCTACGTAGTATACACTTTTGTCCATAAAGAGGGACGTGCCAACCAAAAACATGAAGTAACACCGCAAAGCACAATCTCAGTGGTACTGAACAAAAACCTCTTCACCCTCATCATCGGCCCCTGCTGCTGCAACCAGGTGCTCTTCACATAGTTCCATCATGGAGGAGAACTTTGCATGCAACCCATTAGTGCTTCTGCAGTCCTCAACTGCCTTATATAGATTAACTCTCAGATACTCAACCATCCATTCAACCGCCTTAGCTCGTAGTACTTTGTGATGGTTAAGTAACCTCCCTCTGATAGGTAGGTGGAACAAGAAAGCAACATCATCAAGTATGAGCGTTATCTTCCCAACAGGAAAGTGGAAAGACGACGTCTCCTTGTGCCACCTCTCGACAAAAGCCCCTGCATGCCGTGGCTTATAGTATGTAACCAGTACAACATAGTCCGACAAGTCCGGATTCAACAACGGCCTCATGGAACCAAGCAGCCGTATGTATAAACAATTCAAATATTCTCTGCGAGTGATTCACAAACTTAATGGACAACCGTTCCTATAACAAAAAATATACCGTTAAAATATAATTTATGAGTAAAACTTTAAAATGAAAAAGTACAACAAAAAATATATCTCTTCATCGCAAACATGTCGAGAGGCATGATCATTATAATAAATCAAGAGGGAGGTGTCAGAAGGCCCTCCTGGATAGTCGATATTCGCCTCCTCGGGTACCTCAACATGATCGGGTACCTCATCCCCCTCGGGAACCTGAAACTCCCCGGGAACCTCCCCCATATTGGGTATCTACTCATGCGCACGAGAGGTAAACGCCTGAGACAGGCGACTCCTCGGTGCAAAAGTAGAGCCTCCAGGAAATTCCTCCCTTCGTACCCAACCCCATCCTCGAGGCCTGTTAACCTGCTGCTTAGCTCTCTCTCGCTGAGCAGAGGCAGTCTGGCTTGACCTGCCTTGTCTCAATCGATTGTTTGGGTCTTGGTTGTCAGTCATCTTCCTGAAAAATGATAATTGTTAATATGATGATTTAGAAAAAAAACAACTCAGGCAAGAATTCAGATGTACACATCCGAAACTGGTCAAGAGGGATTTCAGATGTGCACTTCCGAAACCACATGCGGACAACCATTTTCAAGTAGCTTATTCTTCTTACCCTAAATCATCCAAAAACATTTTTTTTGTCACCCAGACACCAACATTTAACTATTCTAACATCAACCTACATAATGTCATTGATTATAACTAACCTAATAAACTATTATAGCATTGCATAGTGAATCAAATGAAAATGGAGAAAACATGCACAAATTGGAAGCTTTGGAGATGAGTTGAAATGACTTGAAAAGAGTTGAAATGAGGAGATGAGTAGAAATGACTAGGTTATTCAAGTTTGGATAGTAGAGACTAAGGGTTTGGAGTAGAAAAATGAGATTTATGGGTTTGTAAAAAAATGAGTATGTTTTGTACGCGGTTTTGAAAACAAATCAAAGAATTCAGATGTGCATATCCGAAAGGATAAATTATGGAGTGAATTCAGACATGCACACGCGAAGCCATATTTTTTTGACAAAATAAAATTACTTCGAATATGTACATGCGAACACACCTATTATTGACAAATACGGTGCGTTCGGATATGCATATCTGAATTCAGGAGATATTTTAGGTTTTTCGTCAAAGGTTTGGAAGAAGAATTTTGGGTGTAAAGAGAAATGTTCAAATTATATTTGTTTTTTATTTATTGTAGTATTTTTTTAATTTTATTTTCTTATTAGAAAAGGTAACAAAATTTCAATGGTAAGTGATTAGTGTTGTAACAAAAAAGTATTGAGTTAATACTACTTTAATTAATATTAAATTCCTCTACCCCAATTTTTTATAAAATGGTTAATTAAAAGAGTGAATTTTTATGCAACACTGTAAAAAAAAAAATTCACATTAAATCACTTTTTCAATAAAAAATAATTTATATTAAGCAAAATTATAAATGTAAAACTAAAGGTTAAATAAATATTGGAAACGGATCTCAAAGTTTAAATAAATATGAATTAAAAAGTTAAATTAAACTTGAAAGTCTAATATTTATAAAGATCAACATTTTAAATAATATAAATAAATAAGTTTAATAAGAAAACCAATTAATATTAAAAAAGTTAGCAAGTTAGCAAATCAAGTCTAATACTATTATGAGTTTGGTTTAATTAAAAAAAATTATTTTATGAAGGTCTAAGCTAGCAAGCTTATCTCCACAAATATTCTCCTGTTTAAAAATGTGAGAGAGTGAAATTCACGAACTTGATGATGTGAATGCAATTCAACAGCAACTATATGTTTTTGAGCTTACATAGGTCATATTTAGAGAAAGCTTGTACCACAAGCAAGGAGTCTGTTTCTAGCACAATATTTTCCAGTTTTTTCTATGAGCAATCCCTATTGCAAGTATAACCCCAATGAGTTTAGTCTGAAAAATATTACTATGACCAATGTGATAAGAGAAGCTATCCAAGTAGTCAAATTTGGAACTTCTAAAGTTATCACCACAGACAAATAACATATGCGCTTAAGGTCATGCCATTCATGTTACATTTTATCCAGTCAAAGATTGGAGGTATCCAAATGACTTGATACATGGAGGGT